TTTTTTTTTTCTTGTGCAGTTGTTTCTTCCCATGACAATGTGACAATTTTATAATACTTAAAACATCTGGTGGCACCTTTTAAAAATACCTTAAGAGCTTCTTAGTCTCATACAACAGTAGTACCCAATTACATCAAATACACTGAACAGGCCCTCTCCTTCAGGAAACATCCTGGTCAGCTAGTTCCCTTCTAATAAGTTTTAAAATCTCAACCATCTTTCTGTGCTTTCCCCACACCTCCTTACAGGGTGCACACTGCACTTTCAGCTACAGTATTTTCTTTCAACCCTATTTTGGTTGTTTGACTCAGAATTGGAGTTTGCTGTCAACATCAGCTCTGTGGTCATTGTTCAGTTGCTCTAACTCTGAAACTCCCTCCCGGCCTTTAGGCCTTAGCACACTGTGTATTAGGTACTTCTCACTACCCCCAGTGGGCCTCTTTGAACATCCACTGAAGCCTCCACTTATCCTTCCCACATTTAGCTTCTCACTCACTGTACTCTTTTCAACCGCAACATACATCACCCATGCATGTGTTAACATGCTGTTCCCACAGTAGTGAGTTTCAGCAAGACTGCATAGGAAACCCCTAGCAGAGTATGGCATGTACCTATGTGCTTGGTCCGTAAAAACCTGTCCTTGAAATAGTTACCACTATGTCAACCAATCAACAAATAGTTCACTTTTGGAAAGTTTTAATAAGTTCTTTTTTTAGAATCTTTTACTTATTTGGTACAGGGTCTTGCTATGCAGTTTGAACTCATAATGATCCTCCTATTTCAGCCTCCCCAGCACTGGGATTACAAGCATAACTGGCCACACCCAGTTTTGCGGCCAGCTCGGCCAGGGACCAGCATGGTGTGCAACGCCAGGGCTTGAACCTGGGGCCTTGTGCTTGCTAGGCAGGTGCTTAGACCGCCAAGCTATCTCCCCAGCCCCTTAACAGTTTTTATAGCCAGGATAAGAATATAAATTTTAAATCCCAATCTATTAGAATAAATACATTTTTATTTTTATATATGTCATTCTAGATCTGCAGTGGGTTTGTAAATTATCTGTACTGTTCTTTATTTTTTATGTATTTAGGACAGGGTGGGTCTACAGGGTCTCACTATGTAGATTGGACTTGTACTGACCCACCCATTTACAGCCTCCCAAGCACTGGGATTATAGATGAGCACCACCACGCCCTGTCTCAATTGTATTTCAGTGCGCCCCGAGGGGCAGGGCCAGCAAGGCAGGCCCAGGGATCGAACCCCTGGCCCCTGCATTTGCCTAAGCAGGCGCTTTAATCCACTGAGCTATTTGTCAGGCCCTCTGTTCTTTATTTATTGAGTGCAATGAGAATGCTCTCATTTAGAACTTTATAAAAATACAGATAGTAAAGATAAAAGCTACTTCGATCCTTCTCAAATATCTGCTTTCATCTCTCTCTACACTACCCACATACAGCAGGGATGTTCCTTCCTACAAACTATTATTATTACCAGAACAAACAACAATACACAAAGCATACTAGAAATATTTGGTTCTTTTTAATCAGCTATTGGTGGTATAATAAAATAAATTTAAGTGGCACCTAAACATAATAGTTCAACAGTACTCTACAACACGGTATGTTAAGCCTTATTGTCAAAATTACACCTTTTTGTTCAAGAAAGGAGAAAAGGCATGATCAAAATTATGGCCAGCAACTTGGGTTCATTTGGACACTGACAGGAGATTTTGTAGATATATCGGCAGGCACTGTGGAAAAATCAATCCATTACACTAACAATGGTATAATACAAATTTTAAAAAGGAAAGATATACATTGCAGGTTATGTCTGAAGCTGAAGAAAAATATCCATCAAATATCACAATGGATTTTTTAATAATTGTTTTAAACATTAAGATTATTTAGGGGACCATCTCTTATTTTTGAACATTTAATTAAATGTTTAAGGTATTAAATAATTTATACAGAGTAAGTCTGTGAAATGAAAGGACACACAAGTACATACTGCTCCACTCCAGCCCACCTACCCTGCAACAATGCTCAATTTTGTAATGGCCTCAGCAGAAAGTAATTCCCAATTTAAGCAGAATTTATAACTTTACAAAGTTTATAGAACCCCTATCTTTTCATTGTTCTTTTTTTAACAGCAAATATTACAATGAGAATTGATCAGAATGTAAAAATATTTGTGCAAAACTGCATTCAGTTTTCTTACCATCTAACAATAGGGGAAAAACACACACAATGACAATAATGAAGAAAAACGGCATCAAAAGTAACTACTTTGGATTTCAAACAACAGGGATTACGCTATTACTAAACACTGAAAGAAAACATGGCACCATGAGCAGCAGGAGCAAGAACCAATCGCGCCGCCGCCGCCGCCGCCACCGCCCGCCCAGGTACCCGCTGAGGAGCCCGCTGGGGGCGCGCACGGGCCGCCTCTGCACTGGCGTCCAGCTCTCCCCAGGACACCTGCGGGCCTTCAACGGGATGCACTGTCTGTATTTCTCAACTTGCAGGTCATAAAGAAATCTTTCAGGAAGTCTTTTCCCTCCTCCCCACCACGGAGTGTTGCTCGTCTTGACGGCAGTCCTTAAAAGAGCTGAATCATGGATTCTCTGGATTTACCTACACCGATCCATTTAACTAGAAAGAGAGAGCACAGCGTGAGTCCACAGAGGGCACCCAGCAGCCTGCAGGGGAGCGGCCTCCTCCCGCCTTTATTCACCACCACCATTTGGCCTCTCAGCACAAGTGCGCCTCCAAGCGCTGTCTGACCTTAACTTCACGTCCTATACGGCTGGGGGAACTTCTAATAACCTGCACAACGTGGCTTTAGATCACACCACCTGCAGAATTCCTGGCTTCCACAGGCACTGTGAGGACAATCCCTCGGGATTTCAGAGGTCACTGTCAGACTCAGGGCCACCTATGTCAGAAACTAGTGACTAAGAGGAGTAAGCAAATACGCCTACTATAACTGATGCCAGCCTTGGAAGGGTTCCTAGCAACGTGGAACACAAGTCATTCCTACAATGGACAATAATACAAAAGTCAGAATGAATTTATAGAAGGCACCTCCTATTTTATTTTCTAGTACTTCTGATTTCTATTAATTCAAAGAAAAGGATTTTTTAATAAATCTTATCCTTTATTCTTGTTTTATATATTTTCTAATGAATTTTTCACTTTTCTGTATTTATTATTTCCTAATGTAAACTCAAGAAATTCCCCTCTCAAAGGTAGTTTAATCCAAACTAAAAAAAAAAGAATCAGTTTTGGTAGTCATAAAAATATAAAATAATCAGTTATTAAGAAAGAAGGAGTAAGAATGAATGTCACAGGGTTAAAACAAAAAAGATTAACAAGGGAATTAAAGACAGGGGCCAGGGAGATGGCTCAGTAGAATAACTGCTTCCTTGGCAAGCGCAAGGATCTGAGTTCAACCCCTCGTTCTGCCAAAAAAAAAAAAAAAAAAAAAAAAGACTCAGAAAGGGGAAGAGGTAACCCACTGTCTTGTAAATAAAGATATGTATTTTATTTATTCTAAGGAAAATATTTTATATCTTCCCAGGCAGTTTACACAGATCACAAGCACTCTGTAAAGCAACGATGATTTTTTTTTTTTAATTCTATTTTGAGGGCAGCCCAGTAAGTTAGAAATAGAAAAAGAGCAGATGGTTGTTCATAAAACTTTATGCTTACCTGGAACTTGAAGCTCATCTTCAATGAATCGAACATAATTTTGTGCATTCACAGGCAACTCTTTAAACGTCCTCGCAGACGATATGTCTGTATTCCATCCTGGGAGTGTCTTGTACTGGACTTCAACTTTATTTAAGACTTCTTGGTTTGCTAAAAGTTAAAGAGGGTATCTGTTCATGGTCTATACTGTCCATATCAAACCACTTTAGGCTTTAGCACAGGCTGCCAGCACATAGCAAAATCCTTGGAACCAGGTCTGTGTCAAAAGGCAAATTTCTGAGGCTTCAGAAAGGTAAACAGTACCCATCCAGAATAATGTTTTATAATCAAACATTTCTCTCTTTTTTGGGTTTAGTTTTTGAGATAGGGCATTGCTATGTAGTCCAGGCTGACCTTGAACTCAAGGTGCTCCTCTGGTCCAACCACACCTGGTAACAACCAAACTTTTCTGAAACAACGTGATTATTCATGATTAGTCAATAAAGATTATGCAGCTCTGGGGGCTGGTGAGATGGCTCAGTGGTCTAAAGCACCTACTTAGAACAACCTTAGCAAAGCACAGGGACCGCAGTTCAATCCCCCAGCACCACATGCCAGCCAGCCCCGACCCCTGGTGGGCTGAGCTGGCCACACGCACACACACACACAAATTAAATAAATTGAAAAAAAAAAAAAAAGATTCTACAGCTCTAACAAAAATTCAAGTCAAATGAGGTTTGGTGCCAAACTTAGAGTTTTCCATTTTTAGAGCATTTAAAATTTTTAAGGTATCAATTACACATGGGTTTAATGACAGCAACCTCACAGAAAGAAGCCCGGCATGCCTGGTAACTTACAAGAAATCCATCATTCTGACTGAAGTTGTCACTACTCTACCTGCTCATCTTCTCTGTATCCATCCTGACAATGGAACGTGCCCTAGAAGCGACGACACAATAACGGGGGATGCTACAGGTGCTGCCAGAGTCCCCAGGACTCTCCCTCCAATGAAGGCAGCTGCCACACCCACTGGCTTGTCTGTGTGGGGACACAGGGGCCTTGGCCACTATCCTTCATTTAGGACAACTCAAGGACCACTCTACTTCCAGAGTTCCCCAGGAGATGAGTTAAGGACTTCAAGGTGGTCATCCCCTTTGGCTTATCGTCCTTTAAAACAATTTTTTTTTAAATTTTAAATCTTGATTTATTTATTAGGTACAGGGTCTCACCACACAGCCTGGACTCTTGGACTCATAAGTGATCCTCCTGTCTCAGCCTCCCCAGCACTGGGATTACACTGCGCCACCACGCCCAGTTTTGGAGTCGAACGTGGGTCCTTATGCTTCCCAGACAGGTGCTTTGACTGCTAAGCTATCTCCCCAACCCTTGTCTTCTTGTAACTAATTTTGATTACAAAATGACAACTGTTCACAATGTACAGACCAGAGGCCAGAAAAAAGAAAACAGACAAAACATAGACATCCCCTGGACGGTGGACTTTAATGTTTCCTGCAAGCCTGCACTGCTACTTCCTATAACTTCACTAACATAAAGTCAGTGGGTTTTTGAAGGGACAGCCTGGATCTGACATCACAGCAGAAGACACAAAGATGGGGGTCATTATACTAGCGTGGCCATAAGCCCTTCACCGGCCTGCTTGCTCTGCACTCAGAGAGATGCACTGTTTACTCTCCCTGGTCTACACCATTCACTCTGCACACATTCCTTCTGACAGTAATTTTTCCTCCTGGGAACTTTTGAGCTTTTTCTTCTTTTACCCTAAGGCAATGTCAAACTTTCACATTCATCAATTGTTACATTCAATTCTCTGAACGGGACAGTCAGAGCCTAGAAATGACTGCCAGTCACTTCAACACTCAGTATTACCTCCATGCTGCAAATGCCCATTCCCCCAGGCAAGTCTGTGCCAGTCACCACCCTAAGCCATGCCTGGCTTTGAGGCAGCTACCCAGAGAGCCAGGCACTAGGATGTCACTGGGCCCAGTGATGCGGCATGCAGGGGTTCCTGCCTCCTGTGGCAGAGGAGTGACAAGATCCCTTCTCCAGTAGATTCTGGCTTCAGCACCGTGGGAGATAAAATGAAGGGTTTTTCCAAAAGTAGATTTCAGGTCCCTTATCTAATTAGGACAAAAGCCTTCAAAGGCTGAGAAACTTTCCAAAGCTAAGACTGCTGGTATCTCCACTCACAGGTTGGAACTCTTTCACCCCTCTCTGTAGAGGGAAGATTCTGCAGAAGTAATGGAATTTTCATTTATATTTATAGTACACAGTAGTTATATTCATTGTAGGAAACTGGCATGTATTACATAACACATCTCAATTTTGTTGTGGTAGTGGTGCTGGGGATAGAACCTAGGGCTTTGTGCATGCAAGGCAAGAGCTCTAGCACTGAGTCACATCCCAAGCCCACACCAGTTCTTATTTTCCCTCCTTCATCTCCAGCCCCTGCCCTGATATTTTATTTCTATTGCTATGCAGCTATTCCAGGTTTCTAAATTTTATAAGGTTTCATTTCTCCACTGTTGAATTCCAGCATTTTCTGCAGTCACTCATCTCAATATGCAGTTATGCACCTGTGGGTTTGCCACTTCCTCCTGAAGAAGCAGGTGGACGTAGGTGACCACCACGGTACTTGTTCACCCTCCACATATATCTCAGCTAAGAACTTCTTACACAATCACATTATAGTTCAATTTTCCTCCTGCCTCATCCTTCTCACAGATGTTGCTCAGATTACACACAAGGCAGTGTGCCAATCAGTACAGCAGAATCCGCTTCCTGGAGAACTCAGTCTGAGGCAGTGGGAACTCGGATGAAGACAGCTGAGCCAGGAGTGTGAGAAAGCAGCTCTATAAGCAAAAGTGGGATTGGATCCCTGGCCAGTGCGGATCAGTGCTGGTGGCATACGCACCACCTCCGACATGCTGGAATGGAACTGTGACTTCATGGGAGACAAACTGGGGGCGCTATCTGAAGCACTGCAGAATGTGCACAGAGGAGGAGGCTCCTGGCGAAGGTCATGAATGAAAGAAAGACAAGGCTGGGGGTCTTTGCTCAGCCTAAATCAAAATATGAAAGTCCAAGGGTCAGCCGCAGCATCTAGACTGTACCTCATCCACAGCAACGAGCAGAAGATGAGGATCAGGCTGACTTCAACATATGGATAGCAGAGCTCCAGAGTGTAGACTCTCAACTCCAGCCAATCTGTTGTGAGACCAGGGCCTGAGGAAAGTGGAACTCTGAGATGATGGATGGGACATCTGGGCTACTGTGGTTGAAATTCTGAGGGCTGTAGAATGTCCCCCAACTTGCTGAGACTAGGCTTCCTCTTGCTTGGAGATGATGCAGAGGTCTCTGCCTTGCAAGGCCGCCTGAGCCTACCCCAGATCTATCTCTTCCTGCCTCATGAGGACACAGCAAAAACCGAGATTAGTGGTGGTGAGTCAATGGCATGCCTGCTGTTTTTCTTTTAAGATAAAACATGTTAATATGAGGGGCGTTTTTTTCCCCAACTAAAACCTCAGTATTAAGGTCTAACTGCAGTGTTGGCACTCTGTGATAAGCAAGTGGGTTTGGGCTGCAGTTTGGACACTTGTCTCTAAAAGGTTCACTATGACCTAGATGTGTCTGTCAGCTTCCATTGCTGGGACAAAATACCTGCCACCAGCAATTTACGAGGAAAGCTTTATTTGGTTCATGGCTTCAGAGCTCTCAGTCCATAGCCGGCTGGCTTTGGGGAAGAAGCATCGCAGCTGAAGGGCATGATGCAAGGAAGCCAATCCCTTAATGGTGGCCAGAAGCAGATGACAGAGGAAGAGCTAAGAGTGGGGCAGGGACCAGATGCGTCTCCATGGTCATGCCACATCTCCTCCACCGTGCCTTATATACTAGTAGTCCCTTCAGCAACGAAACCACCAAAGGGGTAACCCACTGAGAAGGCCAATGGTTTCATAATCCACTTCCCTCTCCCTGAGTCTCTGGATCCAGTCAAGCTAACAATCAAGATTAACCAGCACAAGGACCATAGAAGTACCTGAGAGCAAAGGGGCTACATTCTCAGAGATCTGTAGGACGAAGCCCGCATTTGCCTGTGTGCAACAAATCAGTGTGTACAGACGCTAAGGGTGAGGGTGCTGGACCTGGGAAAAGGTAGGTCATGGAACATCAAATTAAGTAAAGGATAAATGGTCTCAGGCACTCTCCCATGATGCATGACACAAAGATGATACAGGCTGTCCAGGAAAGTCCTGAGCATCTTGAAAGTCATGAAACAGACCGAGCAGACATGTCAGGATTGCTAAGGTGCTTGGCTAAAAAAGACATCAAGAAACTCAAAGGGCCTTTCATTTCAGCCATTGTAAAAAGCACAGGTCCAGACTAGCTCTCAAGATACAACAATTCCTTCCAGAAATAGACACTATGCTTCCTGAAAGAAAAAAACCTCTCCAGCAAATCCTGAAGAAACTCAGTTCATTAAACTGTGAACAATTTCCTGATCACAATTCAGGATACTGGAGGCAGTTCCACTGGCCTAGAGGTAGACAGCAGATTTCAAAAAACAAGAAGCAACTAGAATTAGCAAGATCAGGCATCAGAGAGGAGGGAGCTAGGAGACAGGATCTCCCCAGACAACCATAAAAGAATTCCATGGCTAAGATCAAATTACACATGCAAAGACAATGGCCGTCAAAAGCTCCAATAGTAGCCGCTACCCAGCTGAAGGCAGGACAAATATTCTGGAGGTCAAGCAGAAATGAGATGGTCTGAACATCAAATTAACAGAGAAAAGCAGCAGCTACAATAAAATTCAGTCATATATAAACCGATAGGAAATCTTAGTAAAGTTCTTTTATACAGGAAGTATAAAAAAACCAAATGAAAAGTTCTAGAAATAAAAAAGTCTTCTGGACGGGTCTAAAGCATATCTAGTATGAACAACAAAGAGAAACAGGGAAGGAAAATGGACAGCAAGAGTGGTGGCAGGATTCCCAAAGAATAAAGGCCAGGTGGCAGCACTTCAGAGACAATGGTGATCACGATTACCATTATTAGCAGCAGTCAGGGTGACAACTCAGGACCTGGCCATCAGAGAGATAAAGAACTGGTCAGAAGACAGGTAGTCAAAAGGTTGCAGGCTATGAATGAGACTTTTAGTTTCAAAATGAAGTAAAAACGACAGCCTTCTGTGCTCTTAATCATCAATTACCCCTGCTAGTGACTCCTTTCCCAGTGGCTTTTGGCACTTGAAATCCAGTATGACAGGGCACAGCCTTAGCTTAAAGTCTAATGGGACACTTGCTCCTACTTTTGCAAGGTGATAGCCCAGTAGGGGATAGATTATATCACTAACCTTTCTCGTGAAAATTTACTTAAGACACCCAAAAGAAATCTTCAGGAGCTACTATACATCTACATAGGGTTCAACAACCAGCACAAGAGTAGAGCATATTGTGAACCGCCTCAAAGACAGGTACTGCCCTTGGGGTAGGAGGGGCTCAACTCAGTCCCTACCCAGGAACTGCCCTTGGACAAAGGGAGCTGCTTCACCCAAGGGACCACTTACTGTCTGGGTATCAAGAAGTACAAATTTCTAGACATCGCTCCAATACAGGATAATTCAACGGACCGCCCCACCTCTCTGGCTCCTCTTGGGACTGGCCACACTACATTTGAACAATTCCTTCATATGTGATGGTGCTGAAAGCACCCTCCAATATACTTCTTAGATGCAAATTTCTGCCTCAGACTCTTTTGGAGAACCTGACCCAAGTCAGCAAACTCATCTTGAAAAAGATAAGCTTTACCTATGTTGTTAGTCGTTAAAAGTTTCAATTAAAAGAATGTGGTACTGTTCACTATGGTAGATCTTCCCACGTGTCATTAAATTTATATATATATCTATATATATCTATATAGATATATATATTCATTTTTTTTTTTTGGTGGTACCAGGATTGAACTCAGAACCTTGTACATGCCAGGCAGGCACTTATTCTACCGAGCTATCTCTCCAGCTATGATTAGACTATTTTTTGGGTGTTTGAGAGTTTACAACACTTTTTTAAAAATTTTTTTGCAATACCAGGGATCAAACTCAGGACCTTACATTTGCCAAGCAGATGCTTATTCCAGGGAGCTATTTGCCCAGCTCAAGTTTACAACTCTTGAGGTAGCTTTGAAAGTAGACTTAACAACCAAGCCATAATATATATTGGAACAACTGACTTTCCAACTGAATAATATCCTACAGTAGATAAACAGATGGTGTTGCCCCACTGTTCCCAAGAGTAACTCTGCCATGGAAGCTACGATCCTCCTGCCTCAGCCTCCCGAGCACCATGCCTGGCCTGTGTGTAGAAGTTACTTTCAAAACAGGGAAGAGGAGACTCAGGAACAGCATGCCCAAAGATGCCATGTTTCTTTTATGTTGAATCTGAATGCATGCTTCTGGCCAGCACCTAAACAGAAAGCAGCTTGGAGTCAAATGCTAACAAGTGAACACTCTGCATTATGTCACAAAGGGCCTGCCCAGCTTATGGCTAGATATCATACATCACATGGAGAAGCTCGCGGACAATGCTCCACTACAGACGTCGTACAATGTCCTTAACATAGCCTTCAAGGAAGTACCTGGGAAATGAGGTATGACTTCACCATCTAACTTGTAGGCAACACCAACTTTGATTTCTGTAAACATGTCCAAAATATCCAACTTGGTAAGTGCCAACCTAATTTTGGAAGAAAAGGCAAAATTATAAACATATTAAAGACCATAATATCTAATGTTAAAGAGTAAAGGAAAATTCGTGCAAAGCTCAAAGTTCCAAAGCAATTCTAAAAACTGATTAGGATTATGTTTTAAAGCGTGCCACATGTAAAACACTAGGGAACAATATATCAATATATTATTCATAATACACCACTGAGTTATTTACTACTGACTACAGTAGACCTTCACTGGTCCTGGAAGCCTTGTACACTGATTCAGCTTCGTTAGCTGACCACCAACACGCACTCATGGCGGGGCTGCCCGAGTTAGGGTGCACTCTGTGGCCACAAGACACAGCAGAACGTGCTGCTCCCTGTGGACGAGTACAAGCCAAAAGCACATGTACACGCATGCTGTCAGCCCTTGGTTCTCACTCTTGTTCCCATCACCTCCACCCTTTGGATCAGAAACTGCTGAAGAGGGAGGAAACCACGGCAAGGGCTCTTCATGATACACGGAAACTTCCTGATCAACTGACTGGATAACAGGTTTTTAGGGGGAAACCTGTGGGAATTAGATAAAATACTAGGTTTGGGATACTTGTTCACAGACTATTATCTTTAGCCTTTATTATGTTATTTTCTTGGAGCACACACTAATTAATACAGATATAGACACTTTTCTTGTCATTATCTGAGACAGGATCTTACTCTGTAGTTCAGGCAGCCCTTAAGCTCACTTTGTAGCCCAGGCTGGCCTTAAACTCACAACAATCCTCCTCCCTCAGCCTCCTGAGTGCTAGGATTACAGGCAGGCATCACCCTGCCCGGCCTAAGCACACTTACATACATACACTGATGACCTTTAATGAGCATTGTCAGTGAATCACAGAGTACGCTGTACGTTCTCATCACACTTTTTGTCTAATCTTCCAACACCACTGTGACATACACAATCATACTATCACTGATTTTACAGATGACAAAACTGAGGTGCTACCAGTCACATGAGCATACCGAATAGATTTGAGATTTGAGTCTAGGGTGTCAGACCTTAAACCTACGCACTCCATCACTGTGAGGTGCCGCCTCCCTCTCCGTATGCACACCGACTTACTGGGCTACTTACGTCCCTCTTCGTCCAGCCCACTGCCTGCCCACTTGGCTTGCTGCTTTCTTATGTGTAAAAGACCATCATAATTCATTTCCACCACCCCTGAATATGGAGGCCCCTCTTTTATATTACCCCCTCCTCCACCATATCTCATTGTACTTCTACCTAGAACTACCATTTCAATTTGGAGACTACAGAATTAAATTTTTCTATTAAAATGAAGGGGTTTTTTAAACCTCAAATCTGCATTCCACAAAATTAAATCTGTGGTCATGAACTGTCCTATGTTTTCCTGCAACAGATATTTCCACAGAATACTCACGCAGTAAATCCATTGATCATATGAGCATATCTGAGTGAAACAAGGTCCAGCCAGCCACACCTCCTTTTCCTTCCAGTAGTTACCCCGTATTCTCTACCCCTTGTTTGTAATAATTCTCCAATTTCCTGGAGAACAAAAAAATAGGCCCTATGAATTGCAATAGCAATGATGGAAAGTTAATGGCATTATATTAGAAATCACATAAGACAAAGTCACTGTATGATAAACACCTTTCAGACAATAAGCCAAAAATACAATTCCACAGAGATGACAAATTTTATCTGAGAAGGGTATTATTTGGAATAGATACACTGTTGGCTTCATTTTTTTACCCTGCATTTATTTACAATCTTTTACGTAGGCAACTGCCTAACACGTATGCTGACATGATAGGAAAGACAACTAAGTGCTATCTATTAAAAACAAGTCACTGGGCTGGAGAGATGGCTCAGTGGTCTAAAGCACCTACTTGAAACAAGCTTGGCAAAGCACAGGGACCTCGGTTCGATCCTCCAGCACCACATGCCAGCCAGCCCCGCCCCCTGGTGGGCTGAGCTGGCCACACACACACACACACACACACACACACACAATAAATGTAATAAATAATAAAAAAAAAAACAAGTCACTAATAAGCATTTGTTAAGGTAGACAAATCCAACCAAATGTTCCAAGAACAACTGCAGTCTGATATCTTCTCTGAATATGGCAAGGCCAGATGTATAATGATTCTCACAAAGAGAAGGAGCAGATACAAATCAGTAAGGAGTAAAAACATCCATTTTCTTTCCACATTTTTCAAATTGGATTTACTGAGAATGAGCTTACATTGTTTTGCTCTGTCGGAAAGGCACCGATGCCAACCCTAGTGGTGTATGCTTTCACAACTCCGTACACTTCTCCAACGTTTTGAGGGGGCATGCCCAGACCTGTGCAGACACCTCCAACAGTACAGTTCGAGGAGGTTACAAAAGGGTAAGTCCCTGAAAACAGAGAAGACTGTTAAGATATGCTCAGGTCTATATGCACTTTAAAACAGAAATATTATTAAAATTCTGCATTTAAGTATTTTCTAATTATCTGACAAACATACTTACAACTGGCACTGCCCTCTTTCAACATCATGTTTTATTCTTGATTTTCTTTGCCTCTAGTGAGATTAATGTAGGTGTATAAAAGGATACCTACCACATATTTTGACTTTCTTTCTTTTTTTTTGAATTCAGGATCTTGTGCTTGCCAGGCAGGCACTTAAGCCACTAAGCTAAATCCCCAGCGCTGAGTTTCTTATTGGTTTAAAACAAATGACTCCATGATGTGAGAATTTAAGGCACGGCAGCAACAACACGGACACACTGGAATGAACTAAGAATCCGCTTTATGGGACTTAGAATTTCCCAAGCCGTGGCTCTCTACGCAAAGAATAACCCCCATATTACAAGGTAGTAAGGGTGTGCTTTCTTTCTCCCTTTTATGCTCAAGTATCCACTCTGCTAATTAGACATTGGCTTCTTTCCAGACTAGGTAGGTATCTTACGGTATCAGAATACTGTGCATATATACTATATAAAAACACACTCTAATTAGCTGGAACCAAGCTCAGTGAAATGGCAACAAGCAGACATGAAGCATGAGAAATTCTGTTTAGAGGCAACCAAGAAGTTAAGCTTTAACCTTCTGAAGGTGGAGGAAACACCCTGAATCAACCCAGAAAGTCTCATCCCCAGGTATAAGCAGATTTTCATAGATCTTAGAATACGTATGTTTAGCAAGACTGTATGCATTTCTTAAAGGTTGAATTAAAGATGAAGGTTCACCTTTAGAATTCATTTTATCATCTTATGGCTTGAGGCAGCTGAGGTGATTAAATAATTAATAAAATAATAAAACCCTTAATTTATAGGTCCCGTCAGTGCCCTAAATGCAAAATAATGATTTTTTTAAAACATGTACAAAACTTAACATACTGGTTTCTCTCATAGTCCTTTAAAACAATAACAATAAAACATTGGCATGACAAACTTCCATCATTCCTAAATATACACGCTAAAAAAAACTCTTTCAAACATTAATTATGTATATTTTAAGTACTTTAGGCCCAGTCTAGCTCCCTGCAAACCGTACTTCACTTACCAAAATCAATATCCAATAAAGCTGCATTTGCTCCTTCTACCAAGATTTTCTTTGGTGGTCCATGGAGAGCCTCATACAGGAAGTAAACTCCATCTTTCACCATTGGTTTAATCCTTTCCATATAACCCTGCACACAAAGACAAAACCAACTGCCATGTGCACCAATAGCCTGAATATATAACCAGTATAAGCAGAAGACCTCAAGACGGTAAACATTGACAAAGCGGGTTGCTGACTGTATTTATCTTACTGTTGCAACATTTATATTAGCTTTGGTCTCTCATGCCAATTCTCAGAGCCAGAAAAGACACCGGGTCGAGAATAATAGAGATCTAGGTGCTGGGGGTACAGCTCAGAGGTACAGCAAGGACCTGGCATGCTCCTGGTGCTGGGTTCCACTTGCAGCCTAGGGAGTGTGTGTGTGCACGTGAAGAAATTGAAAAGTTCTTTATCAACGTCATGGCAGATAATGGT